CTCTCTCTCTCTCTCTCTCTCTCTCTCTCTCTCTCTCTCTCTCTCTCTCTCTCTCGCGCGCGCGCGCGCGCGGCATTTGTGAGTCTTACAGCCACCCCGCGCGCGGTGCATTCTTCTTTTCTTTTTTTTTTGGTGCCGAATCTTTTTTTTTTCTTCTGTTTTCTCTCTCTTCCTTTCTTTTTTTTTTTGAAAAATCAGCAACCGGGCGTTCGTTCGCCAGACCCCCTTAAATCGCAGCGCGTTAACGGCCGCGACTTTTTTTGTAGCTGGTAGACAAAGGAAGGAGATCGGACACCCACTTCCTTTGCAGCTTTCTGCACTTCTTGCCTCTGTAGGCCTTCAGCGACTGATATCGACAAAGTACGCCTTCCATCCCACCCCAAAACATGCCCCTATAAGGCGAACACAGGCTTTCTGGAAAAAGCAGAAACTGCACGGCGGATAATACAAAATCTCAGGGGAATGCCTATATGCCCTCAATTAGCGGTCCCCCCAGATGTCCGGAAAAAAAAGAAGAAGAAAACATACCAACATTTTTGCTCCCTGTAAGTGCGTGGTAGAGCACGCCGCCACCCTCACAACAGAGTACTCTTCTCTCTTATTGCCTCTATCTAAGAACCCAAAGGTTCCTTTTTTATGTAGATATACAGTTGGAATCGGAATATGAAAAACAACTGCATACTGCGTCACTGGTAGTGAGGGTTTAACAACCTTGTGAAAACAAATTACCATCTTCCACGGGAGACACGGACCGCAATCCTGAATGTGTACCATATTACCCGGAAGATCAGCGACCGCAATCCTGAACCGGACCGACACATGGGGGTAGCAAAATGCTCTTGCTTTCTTAGTCTTGAAATTTCTTTAGTAACAGAGTAACAGTAGTGAAGATAAGAAGAAGAAAAAGATGGTGGGATATCAAGCGTCCTACTAGTGAGGCGGCTAGCTGGTAGGATGGAAATAGGGTATAGCAGCAGCGGAGATGGTGGCTCTGTTGCAGTAAGTCTTGCCGGAGTGAGGTAAAGAAGATTGAGGGGGTGGTTCTGAGTCGTTTTCTGAATTTTTGCCTATTTCTGAAGTTTGTTGTAGTAATTTCCTAAGGAGCCTCAGTTTTTCTTAGCCAAACCCGGGTACTGGCCCCGGTATCTCAACTTTCAAAATTGTCTTTCAGTTGTTTCTGGTGGTCTCGAGATGCTGTTATAAAAAAAAGAAGAAAAAGAAAGCGATTTATTAATTTAATGAATTTGAGGGCCTTAATAGACACCCCCGTAACAACTGACTCGAAAGAGGAGAGCATGATTGATTTCATGCTAATAGCCTAATACGCCAATACTCACCCTTACTGCTTAGTTGAAATATTATAATCCTGCTAAGACGAAAGCTAGGCTACCAGGGTGGCCCGGGGTCACTTGCCCGTCCGGGCCAAAAACATTAAAAATCTATTTGACGATATATATATATATATATATATATATATTTTTTTTTTTTTTATTTTTATTTTAAATTGGTGAAGACTTTTTTTTTTTTTTTTTTTTTTTTTTGGAGAAACATAGCACTTTCCATTCCAAAGAAACAACCGGGGCCCGGGAACACACCCCTACATATCAACCCGGTACAAATCTGCTAAGGCCAATACTCAGCTTAGGCTCCTGGAAACCAGGTCCAGTGTCCCTTCAAGGAATCTCCAAAGATAAAAAAGTTAAAAACAAATATATAGCAGTATAATCTCCTTGCTACACGGAAAAACGCCGACATGTTTCTAAGATGGAAACACTGCTGGCAGGAAACTAAGAACCTTCCAGACTCCATGCAAATCCTGCTGCTGCCTGGTTCAACGCCGACAGCTACCGCTACTCTCCTCAAAATTATCCTACACCTACCAATTCATTCTTAGGAAACAATTCCAGGTTATGAGGTCACTTCTCCAGCCATCTGCACACACTGAGTTCTCCTTCAGAGGAAACTTTGGCCAGTCTGTCATTGAGACCCCAAGTCTTGTGGAACCACCACCAGCCCTTCCGCTGCCTGTCCGCGATGATGGTCAGTCTGATCCTTGACTTGATTAGGGTCTTCAGGTGATCAAATCCCGTATCCTCGCTCCTGAAGAGCTTCTGGTTCCGTGCCGTCCAAATAATATTCATGATAATCCCTCTGCAGACCTGAGCTATATAAGGCCACCCTTGGTCGTTTGGGGAAATTTGGTGAAGAATTTCGATGTGACCCTGAGGCAAAAGTTGTTCAGCTTATTTTTCTGCACAACATAGTTTTTTTTTTTGATTTTTTTGATTTTTTTTTAATTTTTTTTTTTTGCTGGGACTTTCCTTGGTCCTTGCACGGGCTGGCCACCCGGGACCCGGACGGCCCGGCTGGTAGCCTGGGATGAAAGTAAGTAAACTTAGCAAAGATTATCCTGCGGAGGTGAAAGTACATAACTATAATCCTGCTAAGCGGAAAGTATGCAAGTACATGAATATAATCCTGCTAAGATGAAAGTACATAAATATAATTCTCGTAAACTCTAGTAAACTTAGGTAAACCCTAGTAACAATGGTTAAGTCAGTCGATACAATCCTGCAGAGCTGAAAATTAAGTTTAGAGACGAGCCTGCTCAGCAAACATAATCCTGCAGTGTGGGGTAGGTGGGCAATTCTACGTGCCCTTGGTGGTGGTTCAAACGGCCAAAAAAAAAAAAAAAAAAAAAAAAAAGGCACGTTGATCAACTGTTTGCAGAAAGCCCCGAGCTTGAATCCTCCGACAAGAACCAAGAAGACAAACCTGAGGTCTTTTTTCCCCTTTTGGGGAGAGCTCCACCCAGATTCGCACTCCTCACCTAGTTGCGAACAGTCGTCTGTCTTCTTTCCATCCAATTGAGCCTCTGCTAAGTACTTGAACAGAAACGACGAACATGAAACGAAATCCGCCGGCAGCACCGGAAAACGGCAAACGAATCCCCAAAACGATAACACAAAACAAATCTTTTGTTTTTGTCAATCTCTTACTTATTTACTAAGCAATAATCTTCTCTCAAATTCTTTCACCACTGACCCCTGTAAGCATAGCTACCTCTCACGGTCGAGGGGACGCACGCTGCCCCTCACCCTCATAAACGGTGGTTAGGGAGTAGGGTTGGGCCGCCAGTGTGGGGAGCTGGCTAGCCCAAAGACTCAGAATTTCGTCAGTAAGCTGCCCCTCCCATGTACTTCCCCCTCCCCATCTTGTGACAGCAGTAGTGTCTAAGGCAAACACTCTCCCATATGCCATATATAATTCACACACACACACACAAAGATATTGAACCGGTGACGGCCAAAGACCCTAAACCAATATCGAGCAGGGGGAGCAAGCGTGCCCCAGGGGATCTGTCTCAGTTGGTTGGCACCAAGCGTGCCCCAGGCAATCAGCGGGGATTGAACCCACAACCTCCTGAATGCCACACATGACCCGACAAAACCACATGCGGAATCGTGAAAACATATCCCCCTGCTTTGGGCCTGACTGGGAAACAGGTTTCACGGGACAGCAGCACACGAGTTCCACTAGACCCTTTAATAAGTGTCACAGGGGACACGCTCGTCCCTTTAATAAGATAGTGAAGATAGGGATATTTATCATATTATAATATTGCTACTCTTCGAAAATTGAACCAATGAAATTGGAGAAAGCTTCAAAACGACCTTCGCCTTCGCCTTCATCTCCTCCTCCATCGTCACCTTCATCGTCTTCCTCTTCTTCTTCCTCCTCCTCCTCCTCCTCCTCACCACCACCATGGCCCTTGTGTTTCTTTCCTGCAAGAAGAAAGGCGAAAGACGAAAGACGAAAGAAATGCACCAAAAAGAAAAAAGAAAATGGACCAATGTCACAAAATAGAAAAGAACATAGACAGAAAGTCACAGAAATAAAAGAACGAGTCGCGTTAGTAGGCATTCCTTGGCGACGATCTTGATTCAATTGTCAAGCTTCCATCATCTGGATTCGAACACAGGTCTGTATTTCAACAGTTCATGGGTGTACCCACTGAGCTAGGCTCTTGGGTGTTAGTAGGCATTCCTCTTCATCGGCCAATGGTGTTTTTTTTTTTTTCCCATTTCAATTGAATGGAAGTGGAAGTGATTTTCACGGTTTCACCGTCGCAAAGTTTTGTTTTCCAGTCACATTAATGTAAGCTTCTTAGCCAAACAAATGGCAGCCCGGAGACACCAACAAGAAATTGAAATCATGCACCAATTAGTAGAACTTGAACAGGATGAAGTTTCACATGAGCAGAATCCCCCAGAATCGCAAGAGGGGCAAAATTGTATGCAGATATTAAAAGATCAACTTTTCAAGCAGGCCCGCTACCGCTGCCAAGGAGCACTGATATGGGCAAAATTGCCCAATTTTACATCGGAAGGCACGATGGACGCCCATTTTTTCGGTATTACACAGATCAGAGCAAAACGCTCCACTATTTTTAACCCGCTTGCACGGCCTCTATCCCAGCGGTGGTAAAAGAACCGCCAGGATTGAGGCTTTGGGCGTTGGGTTGCTCCATCTATTGGTGGGGAGCGGCACCTACTGGAAACCGGGTCCAGCATCCCTTAGAAACAACAATTGGATACAATATCAGGGCTGTGGCCATCTATGCTTCTACTGTAGAGCACCTTCTATCCTGTGGAGTTGCTGATCAACCCTTCCTTTCTGGGTCTCCTAATCATCAGGTCCAACCTTCACGTAGAAGTTGTCTGCTGTTCTTTCCTGTTCCTAGGTCTCCCTGCAGGCCTTATATGACCCAAAAGCGAATGGTGAAGACATTGCCCTCACGACAGCTAGGTGTGTCAAGATAGCAAGAAACTTCTACAAAGACCTGTTCTCCTCACATATTCTGCCACACATAGAAGAGATACGCCGTGGAATGATTGAGGAATATCTTACCCCTTTAAACAAGTCTCTTTCAGACAATCAAAAAAAGAACCTTGAGGGGCCCCTGACTAAACACGAGATTTGGACAGCCCGCACGCAAATGGAGGAAGAAAAGACCCCTGGCATAGATGGGTTCCCCAAGGAATTTTGGTAGGTAATGTGGGACCCTCTGAGCCAGGATTCGATGGACTTCTATCTTGAAGTATGGAACACGGGAGGGATGGGAGAGATGGTAGGCAGGGGGGTCCTTTAACTGCTTTACAAAAAAGGTGACAAAATGAATATCCGGAATTACAGGCCCACGAAGTCCTTCAACTGACCAGACACTCATGACAAAATGCGGTGCTGGTGTTCATAGACTTTGAAAAGGCCTATGATCATGTAGATTGGCAATTTCTGAATAGTTGTCTGAAAAAACGGTTCTTTGCCCCCCCCAATACGGTTCGAGCGGTCGGTCCGCCAAGGGGACCCCACAGCGCCCTTCCTTTTCTTAATTATCATGGAGGCGCTGTCGGCAAATCTCCGTGCAAATAAGGGCATCACCAGAATCAAAATAACCCATATCCCGGAGGACGCTGTCCCGGTGTGCTCCCTGTTTGCATATGACCTCACGGTTATGATGGAGGCTACCACGGACAATTTGAAAGGGATCCAAAGGATGATGGACAAGTTTTCCCTGGTCTCTGACATGACAATTAACTGGGGAAATAAAACGCAAGGATGGTGGATCCATTACCAAGGAGGCCACCCCCCTGAAACTCCCCGTGTTTCGTGGCTAACCCTCGAAGCCCCACTAAGAGTCCTAGGGGTGTGAATAACAGCGACCGGTTGCCCCCAAACTAACAATAAATGGATCAGCTCCCCTGCGTTGACTAAATTGTCCACATGGCGAAACAAGACCACATCTCTTTTTGGTCGGGCATTGGTGATCAACAATGTGGTTTTCGCCTCGCTTTGGTATAAATCACTGGTGTGGCCGCTGAGTAGGGGGGCATTGCGTACACTAAAAGCCAAAGTGGCAGCCTTTTTATGGCAACGGAGAACTGACTAATGTGATAAGTCGGGTGGCATGAGACTCAATCATACAACCTGAAGTTGCAAGAGGCTAAGGAATAATCGAAAGTTGCAAGAGGCTAAGGAATAATCGACCCCGCAACTCAAGCCACAGCTCTCCGACTACAATGGATCAAGAAATTGCTCTTTGTCACGGACGGCCCCTGGAAACCTCTGGCTTTAGAACACTTAACCCCCATGGCCCCCTTGGCTCCCCAGAGTGTGCACCCCCTCACTTGGCTAGAAGACCGCTACTGGCCATCCCGCGAAGGTGGCCACGAAGACGGGGAGAGCCCAGAAAACAAATGGACAGCTTCTGGCCGTCGCTTCTGCAAAGCTGACGGAAACTCCCCCTCCTGACAGACAATACCCAGATCGGTGGGAGGAGGTGCTTCGTCAACCCCTCTTTGGAAATCGTTGGCTCACTGATAGAGTCGGTCGGGTAATGTGTAGTTCCGCAGCCCAATGGAAAAGCTGGGTAAAAAATGGGGTCACTCGTATAAAAGACATCTGGGACTGTGATCGAGGCCGCTGTAAAACAGCAGACAAACTACACGAGACTTTTGAGGTACTGCCATCACATCGATCGCAGTCTGGACACACTTATTGAGGCGATACCGCTGTCCTGGTGCAAGACATTGAGGAGAGGCTCATCTTTATAGGAGGGGGACAGGGTAGCGGTAAGAGGGACCACCAGTCAGGTAGGGAGAATACACACGACCAGAGCGCAGGATGCCCTGGTGGAAATGTACACAGAAAGCAGATCAGGAACGCTGCGGGGGGGGGGACCCTTTTATCTGGCAAAACAAAACTGACATCTTCCGCATACGAGTCCTTGGGGAGGGGGAAGAAGCCTGCGCATTCCAATCCGACACCAAGATACAAGATTTCCCCCTCGACCCTCTAGAATGGCAGTGGAAATTCACAGGGCGCAGAGCAAACCCCACTGCTGTGATCAGTCTTCAGAAGCTAACGGTGAAGTCCACATACAAAATGCTCAGACCCAAACGCCACCTTAAAGATAGAATAATCGATAGATGGACAACACACCTCAACGTGGATCGCTCCCTTCTGACGCCGATACCCTGGTTCCAAAACCGAAAAGAAAACCCGACAAAGATCACCTCCCTACAGTGGCAGATAGCACACCGGTGTCTGCCAACAATGGACTGGTTGATCGACCACACAAACCTGGAACAGAAAGGCGGCGCTCTTCCTTGGTGTGCACGGTGCCTGCGGGCCTTCCCTCCACGAAGGAGTGCAAAAACCATTGACCACGTCTTCATGCAATGCCTGACTGCGCAACTCACATGATGATGGTGGGACACAATTTGGAGAAAGATGGTCCCTGACACTCACTCCATGGCCCTGGACCTGGAGGGCCATACTGCTAGGATATTGGCCCCAGGTCCAGGAGGCGTCCACGTTTACAGAAAATATGTTCAATCTGCGCCGCGGAGCGGTACTCTGGGGGCTTTGGTGGCAACACTGCCTTCTGGCCAGAGAGAATGTGCAGGTAGAGGGCCCTGAGGTAACAGAGCAGATCCAACAACAATTCCAGTTGGAATTAATGAGAAAGTGACAGCAGCACTAACCAAGACATAAGGAAGGCAATCTCCACCTTCGTGGGGGACTGGTTGGGAGGAGATGGAGGCGGATGGGTGGCGAAGATCGAATGGGGTGGTAATAGGGAGGACCAGCGGCACGTGGAGAGGGTAGAATGCAGGGATTACCGCCTGAGCTTCAATGACTAGACGGCATTGAACCTTCCTTCCCGCTCCGCCCCCCATCAGACTTCCCTGATCCTTTCCCCCCACACCCGCTCTCTTTGATTGAAGTGATAGACTGAAGGGCGGACACCGACAGGTTACATGGATGTGCAGGGGAGTACTTAGAATTGCTTGCTTGTGTGTGTTGGTTTTCAATCCTACCTTCCTATGCTCTCCAATATCTTTTTTTTTTTTCCCGAAACAGACCCTCCAGTGATAGCGATGCTGGGAAAAGTAGACATCGCTACCACCTGGGGAAAGGCTCCATCTATTGGTGGGGAGCGTCACCTGCTGGAAACCTGGTCCAGCGTCCCTGATGAGAAAGATACAGTTGAAGTGCCATCAGACAACAACATGGGACAGAAAAACTGTAGGAACAGCCTGCCAGTATTGATTGCCCTGGAGGCCAGGGGATTGACTGAGTA